AGCCAACTTGACATATAAAACTATCACTGGTAGGTAGTCTTTTTACTTTCATCTATTATTGATGATATTCCTGTTAGTGCTCAAAACCTTCACACCCAAATTCTAGGATGATTTTCTATCCCACTTTGTCATTTGCACAAAGCTTCATCTCCCAATCCCTTCACATATTCATCATACTGAGAAAATCCAGCAGGTGGTTCAATGTCAACACTCAATGCCCCTGGAGTGAGCGTGATGGAATGTCTACAACTAGACAGCTTCAAAGTTGGGAGCAGAACCCTCACTGCTTTTTATATTAGTTTACAAATGGAATTTTAAAAATATGTAATCTCAGAGTTTCTCAATCATTTAGTCAAATATGCTTATAATACCCTGGTAGAATAAATTCTACCATTCTATTTGATTGTTTTTTACATACTTTTCATTACATTCTTTTTCTGCTTTCCTATATTCCTTTATACTGGCCAAGATTTGACTATTTTTATTCTATTAATTTTTCTTTCTATGTTCTAATTATATTGTTTTAGCAATTTTCCTTAAATGCATAGTTAATTTTACAGTTTTCGATTTGGTTAGTATTGTTATATATAGAATGTATCCCCCTAAAATATATGTTGAATTCCTGGCCCTTATACCTGTAGAGTCTCTGATAATAAAATTCAAAGCTCATTCAAGTTGTATATAGAGTCCAGTTTCTTTCTTATAACTGTTGATCTGAGGTCTCTGTTTCCTTGCTAGCTGTTAGCTTAGGGGCCATTCTGCTTCTAGAGCCTGCCTAGATTGTTTCCCTTGTACTGTATTTAACCTTCAAAGCAGCAATGGCATGCTGAGTCTTTCTCAGATTTTGAATCTCTTCGAATCTCTTGAATTTCCCTTAGCTATAGAAAATTCCTTGCTTTACGTGGCTAACCTGGTTGGATCAGTCCCACCAATCTCATCTCCATATTTTAAGGTCATCAGATTTAGGGCGTTAGTTACATCTGCAAAGTTCCCCCAGAGAAGTACCTAAACTAGTGTTTAATTAAATTACCAGTAGACAGAGATCTTAACATACCTCCTAAATTTTCTTTGTCTTGATGAAAGGTCAAACCTGTTGTAGATGAGTCGATTCTAAATAATGCAGACCATGTATTTCAGAATAGAAACCATAGGGTTTCAGTGACTGTGGTGTTTTTGAAATAGATCACTAGGTCTTTTCTCAAGGTGCCTCTGTGGACATTTGAACTGCCAGGCTTTCAGTTAGTAGTCAATCACTTTATCATTTGCACCACTCAGATTCTCTTTTGCTCTTAGAATTCTTATTTCCTTATTACCTTTTCTGGAGTTTTGTGAATCAGGGTAAAGTTACTTATTAAGAGGGCAACAGGAAGCAAGAAGACTATACATGCAAAAGATGCATAGTGGTTTATTAGCTCTTTCAGGTTAAAGGAGAGGCAGCTGGGCAGTGTTCTGAAACGTACAGAAGGCTCTAGGGAGGAGCACTCAGTGATGATTTGGAGTCCACCCTTACTTATACTAGAATTTAGCCTAAGATGTTACCAGATGCATCTTTCATGTCCTCAGGCAAGCAGCTATAGAAATGATAATTGAAATTTTTATTTTACTTATTATTCTTGGTGTATGAATTCTTTAGTTTATTATGTCTACTGACAGTACCTTTTAGTGACTTTCTTTGATGGTAACTTCATCTTAAGGGACAATGATTATCTCATAGGTGTCCTGCATATAAAGTTTTGTTGAAGCCTCCTTATGAAATTGAATTCATGTTTTACACCCTTAAGTCGTGAATTTTTACAATAATTACTACTATTTGAGTTTGAAAATTAATGGGAACATAGATTTGAGTCTTGAATCTACACTTGGTAGTCTTAAGGTTCCTATTTCCCTTTGTGATTTTTTTTTTTTGCACTCAACTAGACCACTAAGCAAATTTCAATGTCACTATTGTTGGTCATCCATTCGGTTCTGATACATGGAAACCTCATGTTTGCAGAGTAGAAAGTGCCATAGGGAAACTTTCAGAAACAGATCTTCAGGTTTGTCTTTCAAGATGACTCTTGAGTCCAAACCAACACCCTATCAACTACTAGCCAAATGCTTAATCATTTTCAGTACTCAGAAACTGCCTTTTGTCTTTTGGGATTCTTGTCCATCTATACCTCTGAGGCAATTTCCCTGATGCATCTCAAAGTTCAGTGATCACAGATTTTACTCTTTTCATTTCATGGGACGTATGCCTTTCAAAGGAGCACTGATGTTGCAAATGATTAAGTGGTTAGCTGCAAACCAAAAAGTTGGTGATTGGAACACAACCAGTGGTTCCACAAGAGATAAGAACTGGCTTTTTGCTTCCAAAAAGTTGTGCTCTCACATTGGGTCATTATGAGTCAAAAAATCCACTAGATAGCACCTAACAAGAGCAACCACTATAGTAACTTATTTATCAATGAACAATACATTAGGTACACCTAAAGGTCATTGTCAAGCATTCAAATTAAAGTATGAATTTTGTATGTTTTGTAATTCCCATAAATGCTGGGAATTTATAAGGTAAAAAAAGAAACCTGTCTTCTTGAACTTTTTCTTAGTTGAGGATTTGAAATGTAAACTTTTGCTACATCAAATTGACTACATCTGCAGAAAGAGACGATGGAAAAGCTCCATATCATTAGTGAAAACAAGGCCAGGGGCAGACTGTGGAACAAACCATTAATTACTCATTTGCAAATTCATACTGAAGTTGAAGAAAATGAAAACAAGACCACGAGAGGCAAAATATGACCTTGAATATATCCCACCTGAATTTAGAGATCAGCTGAAGAACAGATTTGATATATTAAACACTAAAGACCGAAGACCAGAAGAGTTGTGGGATGACATCAAGAACATCATATAGGAAGAAAGCAAAAAGTCATTGAGAAGACAAGAAAGAAGGAAAAGGTCAAAATGGGTGTCAGACGACACACTGAAACTTGCTCTCCAGCGTAGAGATGCTAAAGCAAATGGAAGAAAGGAGGAGGTCCAAGAGCTGAACAGAAAATTTCAAAGATCAGCTCAAGAAGATAAGACCAAATATTACAACAAAATGTGCAAAAATCTGGAATCAGAAAACCAAAAAGGAAGAACATGCACAGCATTTCTCAAGCTGGGGGAACTGAAGAAAAAATTCAAGCCTCAACTTTCATTATTGAAAGATCCTCTGGGCAAATTATTGAATGATTCAGAAAGCATCAAGAGAAGATGGAAGGACTAGACAGAGTCACTGTATCAAAAGGAAATGGTTAATGTTCAGCCATTTCAAGAGGTAGCATATGATCAAGAGCCAATGATACTGAAGGAGGAAGCCCACGGTGCATTAAAGGAATTGGCAAAGAACAAGTCACCAGGAACTGATGGAATACAAACTGAAATCTTTCAAGAAAGTGAGGAGGCACAGGAGGTACTCACTCATCTCTGCCAAGAAATTTGGAAGATGACTGTCTGGCCTACTGATTGGAAGAGATCCATATTTGTGCCCATTCCAAAGAGAGGTGACCCAACGGAATGCGGAAATCACTGGACAATCTCTTTGATATCCCATGCGAGTACAGTTTTGCTAAAGGTAATACAGAAATAGCTGCAATCATACATTGACAAAGAACTTACAGAGATTCAAGCCAGATTCAGAAGAGGCCATGGAACAAGGGATATCATTGCTGATGTCTGATGGATCTTGGCTGAAAGCAGAGAATATCAGAAAGATGTTTACCTGTGATTTATTGACTACACAAAGGCTTTCGATTGTGTGGATCATGACAAGCTACGGACAACATTGCAAAGTATGAGTATTCCAGAGTATTTAATTGTGCTCATGAGTAATCTGTACCTGGACCAAGAAGCAGTTGTTCAAACAGAATATGGGAAAACTAAATGGTTTAAAATTAAAAAAAAAAGGTGTGTGACAAGGTTGTATTCTTTCTCCATACTTATTCAACCTGTATGCTGAGCAAATAATCTGAGAAGCTGGATTATATGAAGAAAAACGTGGCATCAGGATTGAAGGAAAACTCATTAGCAACCTGCGATATGGAAATGATACAAACTTGTTTACTGAAAGTGAAGAGGACTTAAAACATTTATTGATGAAGATCAAAGAGCACAGCCTTCATTATGGTTTACATCTCAATGTAAAGAAAACAAAAGTCCTCACCACTGTGGACAAATAAACAACATTCTTATCAATGGAGAAAAGATTGAAGTTGTCAAGGACTTAATTCTTCTTGAATAAACTATCAACAGTCAAGGAAGCAGCAGTCAAGAAATCACGACGTATTGCATTAGGCAAATCTGCTGCACAAGACCTTTTTAAAGTGTTGAAGAACAAAGATGTCAGTTTGAGGACTAAGGTGCGCCTGACCCAAGCCATGGTATTTTCAATAACCTCATATGTATGTGAAAGCTGGACAGTGAGTAAGGAAGACTGTAGAAGAATTGATCCTTTTGAGCTACAGTGTTGGAGGAGAATATTGAAAGTGCCATGGGCTGCCAAAAGAAATAATATATCTGTTTTGGAAGAAGTTCAGCCACAGTGTTCCTTAAGGGCCAAGGTAGCCAAACTTCATCTCTCATGCTTCGGACATACTGTCAGGAGGGACCAGTCACTGGAGAAGGATAACATGTTTGGTAAGGTGGAGGGTCAGAGGAAAAGAGGAAGACCCCCAACGAGATGGATTGACCAAGTGGCAGCATCGATGGACTCAAGTGTGGCAACAGTAGTGAGGTTGGCCCAGGATCGGGCAGTGTTTCATTCTGCTGTACGTAAGGTTGCTATGGGTCAGTACCAACTCAATGGTACTTAACAACAACAATATTGGTAATAAGTATGTGACTTATTTGAGTGCCTTAATTTAGTCATCATTTGAAATTATTCACTGTTGGTGATCAGAGTTAAAAAGAGTTAATGCAGTTATAAACGGATCTGACATACATTAATTATGCACGCTTTTTTTTTTTTTTTTCAGTATTAACTTACTTGCCTTATTTTCACTTTCATTTAGATCTAGATCAGAAAGCAGCAACCAAGCCTATACTAGCAGGTAAGTAAATTATGAAATGTTTCTTAAAATATATGTTTAAAATTAAGTTGAAGAAATTGATACTCAACACTTAAATTGATGGAGCGTCACAGTAAAGTACTGCATTGATAAAACAACCTATTAGGATTTCCCCATCTCCTAACCGGTGAGTATTTGCCTGAGTAAATCAAATATATTTAGTGAATGTATATTGGGAATTTATTCTTGGACGTAAAGAAATAAATGACCAGGGAAATGTTGATGGTGATAACTTATAAGTAAGTTCCTTTTGTATTCTTTATCACAAAGGGAGATTTTACTTATGTGAAGACATTATACAACTTACAATGTGTACCATGAAAAACCGAATGAATACTCAACACAGGTCACTTAGGTTGAAATTGCTGAAGAAAAAAAGCATCATAAAGGAACATCTTCTAAAGTCTCTTAGTATTACAAAATCGTTATAACTAGGCATATTTCCATTTCCTGAAATGTGATTGTCTCTGTATAATATCCAATAAGCATTTATTTCCCCATTAGTTGTGGTATTCGATTCCTTCTGAATATAGAAAATGTTTGGGAGTTTTCCTTCCTTCCTGTCTGACTTATACAGTCTTTATTTACTTGTGTAATTGACTGGTACTTTTCCTTCTGTGTGCATCCAAGTTCACTACTATTCCAAACAATATGCATACCTACAGACAACTTTTCTAGATTGTAAAACAAGGCTGTATGGTTTATCTTATTCCAGAGGTCTATGTCTCTAATAATAATACCTTATTATATTATCCTTTAATGTGTTATTATTATGACCTTCCAGTGACACTTTGGAGTCATGAGTTACTCTTACCAAACTGAGAATGAACAACATGTTCATTATTATGTTCTTTCTGTGTTACTTTGAAAAGTGTAGTTTTTAAGTGCCGTTGAGTCATTTCCAACACATAGCGACCCTGTGTAGGGTTTCCAAGGAGTGGCTGGTGAGCTTGAACCCCTGACCTTGTGGTTCAAATGACTTTGAAGTCCAGCGCATTAGCCCACAGCACAGTACATAGTACTAAAACATCAAGTCTCAGCTACCATTTTTTGTTTTTTACTTTGGGACTTGTCTTATTATCTATCTCTATGTCTGGGGCAAAGCTAACTTTGTCTCTCTCACCAGTGTGTAGCCAAAATGTAGCAGAGTGCTTGGCTAGTAAATACTTGCTGAATGAAAGAAAGATTACTTGATATTCTACACACACACAAGAGGCAAACAGTTATACAAAGCTAGACATGTGTGCACACATGTACACACATTCATGCTTATACTCACCCACATCTGTGTTCTGTATTATAATAAATGCCTTAATTTGTACCTCTCCCATTATCTCTCATCCTGAACCCTTGTTAAGGTGATTTTTCTCTTTTAGAATTGGTATTCACCTACAATGAGTAAGAGATGATAGTATACCTTATAAGAAAATGTGCATTTTAACTAGAATAATGTAGTTTGGAATGGTAAACCACTGATGTAGCCTTTTGGCTACAGTGCACCAGAAAAACATTCTTAAAATAATTATTAATTTAAAGCTCAGTATTGTCATTTGATATTTTTGCTGTGCTTTATTGATATAACATTCACTGTAGTTTTCAGATCATTTGTCTTTGGTGCAATCATCTGGTGGGAAGTCAGTGGGAGAGGTAGTTGAAGCCAAATAATTCAGTATGGGTTGTATTAGTCCACAGTGTTGATATGATTAATTTAAAAATAACTAAATGGAATAAATGTTTCTAAACTTTTCCTAAAAATAGATGGGCCTTAGGCCATTTACCTGCAAATTCCAATCATGACTCTCTTACCATTACTGTCATTTGGCTATTAATTTCTTCTAGGTGTCAGTTCATCCTCTATTCTCTCCATCAGTTAGTCTCTAGTATTATTATAATCATTTTTATATTTAAATGGATACTTACTATATTGACTTAATCAGTTGCTTAGCTCCTTATTCATTCTTTACTTTTTCCATTCAGGTTCAGTTTCCTTTTTCCTTTACCACCACAGTTTTTTGTATTGTGTGCTTGCATAGTGCTGTGATTCTGGAAGGTACACCACTGGTATTTTAAATACCAGCAGGGACACCCATGGTTAACAGGTTCCAACTGAGCATCCAGATGGTGACAAATTAGGAAGAAAGACAGAAGACTGCTTTCAAATATTTAGTCACTGAAAACCATATCAATAGCAGGGGAATGCTGTCAGATAGCATCAGAATAATGAATATTGAAACGTGATGTAAAGTACCAGGATATCATCAGATATAGTGCCGGAAGATGAGTCCCTCAGGTTGGATGGCACTCAAAATATGACCGGTGAAGATCTCTGCCTCCTCAAAGTAGAGCTGAATATGTTGACACGAATGGAGTAAAGCCTTTGAGACCTTTATTTGCTGATGGGGCACCACTCAAAATGAGGAGAAACAACTGCAAACATCTATTAATAATCAGGACATGGAATGTGTGACATATGAATCTAGGAAAATTGGAAATTCTCAAAAATGAAAATGAAACACATAAACATTGATATCCTAGGCATTAGTGAGCTTAAATGGGCTGGTTTTGGCCATTTGGAATCTGACAATCACATGGTTTACTATAATAGGTATGACAAATTGAAGAGGAATGGTATCACATTCATCATTAAAAAGCAAATTTCAAGATCTCCCTTGAAGTACAATGCTGCCTGTTATAGGATAATATCCATATGCCTACAAGGAAGACCAGGTAAGACCGCTTATTGTTCAAATTTATGCACCAACCACTAAATCCAGTGATGAGGAAACTGAAGAATTCTAACAACTTCGTCAGTCTAAAACTGATCAAACACGCAATCAAGATGTATTAATAATTGCTGGTGGTTGGAATGCAAAGATTGGAAACAAAGAGGAAGGATCAATAGTTGAAAAATATGGCCTTGATGATAGAAACAATGCTGGAGATTGCATGATAGAATTTTGTAAGACCAATGACTTCTTAATTGCAAAAAATCTTTTTAAAATAACATAACAAACAAGTTTTCACAAGGATCTCACTAGATGTAGTACACAGAAGGCATGCTGACTACATCTGAGAAAAGAGACAATGGAAAATCTCCATATTGTCAGCCAAAATAAGGCCAGGGGCAGATTGCAACATAAGATAAATGGCTCATATGCAATTTTAGGCTGAAGCTGAAGAAAACTAAAACAAGTCCACAAGAGCCTAAATATGACCTTGAGCGTATCCCACCTGAATTTACAGATCATCTCAAGAACAGATTTGATGCATTAGACATTGAAGACCAGAAAAATTGTGGAATGACAATAAGAACAGGAAGAAAGCAACAGGTCATTAAGAAGATGTGAAAGAAGGAAAAGACCAAAATGGATGTCAGAAGAGACTCTGAAACTTGCTTTCTAGTGTAGAGATGCTAAAGAAAATGGAAGCAACGAGGAGGTAAAAGAACTGAAGAGAAATTTTCAAAGTTCATCTTGAGAAGACAAAGTAAAACATTATAATGAAATGTTCAGTGACTTTGAGCTAGAAAAGCAAAAGGGAAGAATACACTCAGCATTTCTCAAGCTGAGGGAACTGAAGAAAAAATCAAAGCCTCACCTTGAAATATTGAGGGATTTTATGGGCAAAATACAGAATGATGCAGAAAGCATCAAAAGAAGATGGGAGGAATACAGAGTCACTGTATCAAAAAGAAATGGTCCATGTTCAACCATTTCAAGAGACAATATATGATCAAGAGCTAATGATCCTGAAGAAAGAAGTCCAAGGTGCATTGAAGGTATTGACAGATAAAAACCTCCAAGAACTAATGGAATACAAATTGAAATCTTTCAACGAACTGAATTAGCACTGGAGGAACTCAATCATGTATGTCAAGAAATTTGGACGACAGCAAACTGGCCGACTTACTGGAAGAGATTCATATTTGTTCCCATTTCAAAGAGAGGTGACACATCAGAATGTGAAATCTTTGGAGAATATCATAAATATCTCATGCAATTAAATTTTGCTATGTTGTTGTTTAGTGCCTTGGAGTCGGTTCTGACCCATAGCGACCCTGTACAGGGTTTCCGAGCGTATAAATCTTTACGGGAGTAGAAAGCCTCATCTTTCTCCCACGGAGCGGCTGGTAGTTTCCAACCGCTGACCTTAAGGTTCCCAGCCCGACTGTACATTGACAGAGAACTGACAAAGGTTTATGCCGGATTTAGAAAAGGATGTGAAATGAAGGATATCATTGTTGATGTCAACTGAATCGTGGTTGAATGTGGAGAATACAAAAAATATGTTTACCTGCGCTTTATTGACTATGCAAAGACTTTCAATTGTGTGGATCATGACAAGCTATGGACAACATTGCGGAGAATGAGTATTCCAGAACACTTAATTGTGTTCATGAGGAAAACTGTACACAGAACAAGAGGCAGTTGTTTGAACAGAACAAGGGAACACTGAGTGGATTAAAATTAGGAAAGATGTGTGCCACCATTATATTCTTTTATTTAATCTCTGTGTTGAACACATAATCTGTTTGTTGAGCACATAATCTGAGAAACTGGATTTTACAAAGAAGAATGTGACATCAGGATTGGAGGAAGACTCAATAACATCCTGTGATATGTAGATGATACAACCTTGCTTGCGGAAAACAAAGAGGACTTTAAAATACTGATGAAGCTCAAAGACCACAGCCTTCTGCATGGGTTGCCCCTCAGTGTAAATAAAACAGAAATCCTCACCACGGGACCAACAAATAACATCAAGATAAATGGAGAAAAGATTAAAGTTGTCAAAGGCTTCAGTTTGCTTGGATTAATCACCAACACTCATAGAAGCAGTAGTCAAGAAATCAATCAACATACTGCATTTGGCAAATCTGCTCCAGAAGACTTCTTTAAAGTGATCAAGAACAAAGATGTCACTGAGGTGCACCTGACCAAAGCCATGATATTTCAATCACCTCATATGCACGTGAAAGTTAGAGAATAAGACCTTAGAAGAATTTATGCATTTGAGTTTTGGTGTTGGAGGAGAATAAAGTACCATGAATTGCCAAAAGAACAAACTGATCTGTGTTATACAGCCATAGTGCTCCTTGGAAGCCAGGATGGCCAGACTTTGACTCTTATAGTTCAGACATATTATCAGGACAGATCAGTCCCTGGAGAATGATGTCATGTTTGGTAAAGTAGAGGGTTGGAGAGAAGATTCCCCAAGGAGATGGATTGCCACAGTGGCAGCAGCAATGGACTGAAACATAGCAACAATAGTGGGGTTGGCACAGGACTGGGCTGTGTTTCATTCTGTTGTGCATAGGGTCGCTATGAGTCAGTACCCACTTGATGGCACATGACATAGTCCTTTTAGTTGTCTCAATGAGTGTTAGTGTGTTATTAGTGTTTTGTGTTAAATGCTTGACATGCCATTTTTTTTTTTCCACATGTATCTTTGAGTGATTTTTCAAATGCTTAGAGAATTCTAGGCCCAGCACTCAGTTTTCTGCAGCTCTTTAAAGTATTCTGTTGTAATTTGACATTTACTGTTAATTGATGACATTTCAGTTGTCAGTTTTATATTTATTTTATATAAGTGACGTCTCAGGTTTCCATTTTGTCTTGATTGTTTTCTTATTTTATTATGGTGTGCTCTGATATAATTTGTTTTTCTTTATCCAGCTCTATATTCAGTGTGGTCTTTAAATATCAGCATACATTGAGCATACATTGTGGGTAGAAGTATACTTTAATTTTATCTCTCTTGGGGCATGAACTTTTCATTTTATTCTTTTGCTTGTTGGTTCAAATTTGTGGCCAGTGAAATGAAAGTCCTGCCCTGAGACATGACGCAGACCTTGGTTCCTGCATCTCTAGGTGATCCTTTTCTATTCAAATGGCTGAGCTGTTTGTTGCATTCCAAGGCCACTGGTCATAGCATTTATTATCCCTATTCAAGACTCCTGGTGCAGCACTGTAGGATTAGTACTGGATTCCAAAATACAAGGTCGGAAGTTCAGATCCACTAACTGCTCCTTGGAAAATCCTATACAGGGTCTTTGTGAGTCAGAACCGACTCTACGGCACTTAACAACAACATTCAAGACTCCTAGGTTTAGGCAAGGAGCACATTCCTGTTTTATATCTTCCGAAGGCCCATTCTCTTAACTGGGGTTATTAAAGTCATATCTTGTAGGATAGTTGTAATTCAGATACCTTTTAAATCATTCAAATTTAGCCCTTGTTTTTCCTTTGTGCTTCCGGTTTCTTCTTATTACTGACAGAAGGAAAAGACATTTTTTGTCTTTTTAATTCTCATTTACATACTAATTTTGTGCACTATCTTCCTCAATTTTTTACATGGGGAATAGAATGGGGGAATTTTCCTGTCAGCTCAGTCTGTCCCACTGGCCAGAAGTAAATAAGAGTTTTAATTACCAAAATGTGACAGTTTATCAATCAATAAATAAGGTGTCAACTTGAGCCTGAAGGCCAGATTTCATCATCTGAAGTCAAATTCATTGTCTCTGTTTAGTAATGACAAGGAAAATCCAAATTTCTGATATCTGATATCTTGATACTGTTCTCACTGGCAATCTAACTTTTTAAAAAAATGCTTGGTTGTTCATGGGCTTTGGGTAAATAAAAATGCTAGTATTTTGTATTGTCCTAAAGTAGGTAACTTTCTTAACTTTTAAACATTACTCAATTTTCATTTTAGATCCAAGTCAGAAGGCAGTACCCAAGCATCTACCAGCAGGTAAGCAAATAAGGAAATATTTTTATAAATAAATAAGAAAGAAGGAACAAGTTAATAATTCACAATTAATTGCTCAATATATTATATTTATTTATTTAAACTTTTTTTATTGTGAATTGAGTGAAGGTTTACAAACAAGATCATTAGTTTTACATTCAACAATTCATACACTTTGTTTCATCTCAATGATTACATTTTCCTCCATGTTACATCAATAATTCCACTTCTTCCTATGGTTCCTATTTCCATTCCACTCATCTCCCCATCCCTTCTCAACTTTGTCCTTAGGTAAATGTTGTCCTTTTGCTTTTGAATGGTCAACCATTCCATAGCGAGCATACCTTACTAGTGTTGTCCCCATTATATACCTATTTATTGCTTGGTTGAAAATTGGACCACAAGGGTGAGTTCCTTTGCAGACCTGAAGGGTGGCCAAGGGCAGCCATGATCTTGGGTTCCTCAAGTCTCTGACTTCCAAGCCTAATCTTTTTTATAGTTTCAAATTTTGTTCCATATTTTCTTCCACTCTATCCAGAACATTCTAATGTGAATCCCTTTCAGAGCATTTGGTAGTGGTAGCTAGGCACCAATTAGTTCTGGTCATAGTCATGGAAACTGATGTTCACATATTCTATTAGTCCACTGGACTAATTGATTCTAAGAATCTTCAGTTCTCATCACTCTTCTTTCTTCTGCACATGGAAATAGTTGCACATTAGATATCAACTCATGAACTTTTAAGATCCCAGATGTTACTCACCAAAGTAGGATGTAGAACATTGTCTTTGTGGACTATGTTATGCCAATCGACCGTGGTGTTCCCTGAGACTATGGTCCTGAGTCCCTAATCCCAGAAATTCAATGCCTTAAGATGTTTGATAGTATCTAAGAATTTTATAACTTTACCCACTGTATGCTCCACCACATTCATGGGTGTGTTTGCAGCAAGAGTAAATACCTGTGTACAAATATTATCTTGCAAACCCTTATATATTTGTGGGTATACTCACACTCTTCTTCCCTTACCAATTCAGCCTTTGTTTCTGTCCAGTATTCTACCCACAGAACACTGTTGTTCCAATGTTGTGTATATGACATTATTTACCTTTAGCCCTTGTTTTCCTAATTTCCTTTTTAGGACTGCCTTTATTAGTGTTGTTGTTAAGTGCCGTCGAGTCAGTTCTGCCCCCTAGCGACCCTGTGCAGGGTTTCCGAGGATGTAAATCTTTACGGGAGTAGAAAGCCTCATCTTTCTCCTGCGGAGCAGCTGGTAGTTTAGAACCGCTGACCTTAAGGTTCGCAGCCCGATTCGTAACCACTATGCTTTTTGTATATTGATCTTGTGCCCTGCAACTTTACTGAATCTTCCAATGAGTTCCAACTATTTTTTTTACTGAGTCTTTGAGGTTTTCCATCTATAGAATTATATCATCTGCAAATAGAGTTTTACTACTACTTTGTAATTTTGGATGCCTTTCTTGCTTTATAACTGTAAGACTTCCTACACAGTATTGTATGGGAATAAAAATAAAGGGCATCCTTTTTGGATTCGTCTCTGAAAATGGAATGCTTTCAGTTTTTCTTCATTGAAAATAATGTTGACTGTTGGATTTGTGTTGTTAAGTGTCGTGTTGGTTCTAACTCATAGCGATCCTTTATAGGGTTTCCAAGGAGTTGTTGGTGAGTTTGAAACTCCGATCTTGCGGTTCAAACAAACCTGGAGGTCTAGTGTGTATATATGTTCTAATTATGTTGAGGACTTTTCCTTCTACTCCTACTTTGCTGAGTGTTTCTTTTTTTTTTTTTTTTTAAATCAGGAATGGATGTTGTATTTTGTGAATGCTATTTCTATATCAATTGATAAGATCACGTGGCCCTCTTTCCTTTGCTTTATTTATGTGGTGAATTATATTGATTGTTTTTCTAATATTGAACCATTCTTGTATCTCTGGTATGAATCCCACTTGGTCATGACATATTCATTTTTTGATATGTTGTTGAATTCTATTGGCTATGATTTTGTTCAGAGTTTTTGCGTCTATGGTCAAGAAGGACATTGGTCTATAATTTTCTTTTTCAGTGATGACTTTTTCTAGTTTTGGTATGATGATTTTTCTCACGTCATAAAATGTAGCTAGGAGTTCTCCAACCTTTTTTATTTTCTGGAATAGTTTCAGTAGAATTGGTGTCAACTTTTCTCTTCAATGTTTGGTAGCATTCACCAGTGAAACCATCTGGGCATGTACTTTTTTGTTGTTGGAACTTTTTTAATGAGCTGATAAATTTCTTCCATTGTTGTGTTGTTGTTAGGTGCACTCGACTCAGTATTGACTCATAGCAACCTTATGCACTGCCCGATCCTAGGCCAACCTCACTACTGTTGCCACGCTTGAGTCCATCAATACTGCCACTTGGCCAATCCATCTCATTGAGGGGTCTTCCTTTTTTTCTCTGACCCTCCATCTTACCAAACATGATATCTTTCTCCAGTGACAATATGTCCGAAGTATGAGAGGTGAAGTTTGGCCATTTTGGCCCTTAAGGAGCACTCTGGTTGCACTTCTTCCAAAATGGTTCTATTGGTTCTTTTGGCAGTCCATGGCACTTTCAATATTCTCCTCCAACACCATTTCTCAAAAGCATCAATTCTTCTATGGTCTTCCTTATTCACTGTCCAGTTGTTGCATGATTATGAGCTTATTGAAAATACCATGGCTTGGGTCAGGTGCACCTTAGTCCTCAAGCTGACATCTTTGTTCTTCAACACTTTAAAAAGGTCTTGTGCAACAGATTTGCCTAATGCAATACATCGTCTGATTTCTTGACTGCTGCTTCCATAAGTGTTGATAGTTGATCCAAGAAGAATGAAGTCCTTGACAACTTCAATCTTTTCTCTGTTGATAAGAATGTTGTTTATTGGTCTAGTGGTGAGGATTTTTGTTTTCCTTACATTGAGATGTAATCCATACCAAAGGCTGTGCTCTTTGATCTTCATCAGTAAATGTTTTAAGTCCTCTCCACTTTCAGCAAGCATATCGCAGGTTGTTAATGAGTCTTCCTGCAATCCTGATGCTACGTTTTCTTCATACAACCCAGCTTCTCAGATTATTTACTCAGCATACAGGTTGAATAAGTATGGAGAAGGAATACAACCTTGTCACACACCTTTCTTAATGTTAAACCATTCAGTGCTTCCATGTTCTGTTTGAACAACTGCCTCTTGGTCCAGGTACAGATTCCTCGTGAGACAATTAAGTGTTCTGGAATACTCATACTTTGCAATGTTGTCCACAGCTTGTCATGATCCACACAATTGAAAGCCTTTGCGTAGTTAATAAAGCACAGGTAAACGTCTTTCTGATATTCTTTGCTTTCATCCAAGATCCATCGGACATCAGCAATGATAGCCCTTGTTCCACAGCCTGTTCTGAATCCAGCTTGAACCTCTGGAAGTTCTTTATCGTTGTATGCTTGCAGCCGTTTCTGTATTACCTTTAGTAAAACTTTACTCGCATGGGATATCAAAGATATTGTTCAGTGATTTCCACATTCCGATGTGCACAGATATGTATATCTTCCAATCAGTTGGCCAGATAGTTGTCTTCCAAATTTCTTGGCAGAGGTGAGTGAGTGCCTCCTGTGCCTCCTCTTTCTTGAAAGATTTCAATTTTTATTCCATCAATTCCTGGTGCTTTGTTCTTTGCTAATTCCTTCAATGCACCTTGGACTTCCTCCTTCAGTATCATTGGCTTTTGATCATAAGCTACCTCTTGAAATGGCTGCCTATTAATCATTTCCTTTTGGTACAGTGACTCTGTGTCTTCCTTCCATCTTCTCTTGATGCTTTCTGCATCATTCAATAATTTGCCTAGAGAATCTGTCAATAATGGAAGTCAAGGCATGAATTTTTTCTTCAGTTCCTTCAGCTTGAGAAATGCTGTGCGTGTTCTTCCTTTTTGGTTTTCTGATTCCAGATTTTTGCACATTTTGTTGTAATATTTGGCTTTATCCTCCCCAGCTGATCTTTGAAATTTTCTGTTCAGCTCTTGGACCTCCTCATTTCTTCCATTTGATTTAGCATCTGTACACTCGAGAGCTAGTTTCAATATCTTTTCTGACATCCATTTTGACCTTTTCCTTCTTACTTGTCTTCTCAATGACTTGTTGCTTTCTTCCTGTATGATGTTCTTGATGTCATCCCACAACTCTTCAGGTCTTGGGTCTTTAATGTATCAAATCTGTTCTTTAGATGATCTCTAAATTCATGTGGGATATATTCAAGGTCATATTTTGGCTCTTGTGGACTTGTTTTCATTTTCTTCAGCTTCAGTTTGAATTTGCATATCAGTAATCGATGGTCTGTTCCACTGTCTTCTCCTGGCCTTGTTTTGACTAATGAGATGGAGCTTTTCCATCATCTCTTTCCGCAGATGTATAGGTCTGCTTAAGTTTTCTACTACATTCTGTATTAGTTTAGGGAGGTAGTGTTTTTCTAAAAATGTATCAATTTCTTCTTGAATTTTCATATTGATTGGAGTAAAATTCTACATAATGTTCTGATATTATCCTTTTTATTTCCCAACAGGCTTAATGCAAACAAATCCCTCCATGTTTAATTGGGCTGACACCTTTGGTACTCACCTCAGTGTGACTCTGACCCACTGGAAGAGTGGGAGATCCCTGGGGGTGTACATGGGTGTCACCTGGTCTGGCCTCTGATCACCAGGGAATTGTGGGGAGCCAGAAAAATATTGTATCATTATCTCTGTGAATGACTGGTACATTTCTGCAATGCCAGTATGTTTTTATGTCTGCGAACCTACTCACAGAAACTTAAGATAGTCATACCTCATCTTCAGTGGGCACAGGTTACCAGTTTGTTTCTATTTTTTACAACTTTTGTTCAGCTTTCTCTCCTAGTACACATTCAATCACCTTCTCTATGCTTTCATCTGAAGCTCAAGAGTTCCAGCACTATCATCTGCATCTGTTTCATTTTGTTTTCTGTATCTTTGTTGTAGAGGGTCCTTACAACCTTTCTCTCTAGTCTGCCATCTTGTCACCACCTCACCTTTCTCATTATTTTTTGAGTAATCACAATTCATAAAATACTACAGTAAAACTAATGTATTAATAGTTGCTATCCTAGTAACAACTGAGAGTGAATTAATTCAATTGTTTTTCCTCAGTTAATTAAATATTATTGATTGCCTGCTCTTTTGATATGTAGGATAAAACTATATCTTGAAAGAGACAAGATATATATAATTTGGTTGTGAAACTGACTCATAAACAGAACATTTTTGTGCACTTGATGTTGGGATGAACAAAGGAAAATAGTCTTTCTTTGGATTATTCTTCCCACTCACAAAGTCTGTATATGCTCCCATGAGTAGCTATGTGAATAATTACCCCATTTAGGAAGGTATCAGTATGATGAAGACACTAGAATTTACATTTCCCACAGTACCTCCACATCTCCCAGTAGAGTTAACAAGGATTCTCTGGAACTCTGCACTTCACTGTTGTGGCTTTGTGATCCTTCAGAACTCATCAAAAATTTATTGTTTTGCTCACTTTTCTTTGTCTCTTGTAGTGTTTTATTTTCTTATGTTGTTGTTGTTAAGTGCCATTGAGCCAGTTGCAACTCATAGAAACCCGTGTATAGAGTTTTCCAGGAGCGGCTGGTGAGCTGAACTGCTGACCTTACTTGGCTTTCAAACCGACCTTGCAATTCATTTCATTAACCTATAGCTCCACATAGTGTCTAACAATTTTCCTTAAAGTTTTCTTTTTTAGCTACATTTAATCTACTTCTATTCCAAAATATTTTCTGTATATACAGGTTAACCTATCAAGACTATATACTTTTTTTTCTTCATGATGAAGCCACCCTCTCCATTTAGTAAGCCATTGCATTTCACTCTCCCCAATTCTCTCTGCTGTTTTTAGAATTATCTTTACCCAGTCACCTTTTTAGGAGCTATATTGTTTCTGTAGAATAAGTACTAGATTGCTAATCACAAGGTGGGCATTTCAAACCCAGATGTCACACCACAAGAGAAAGATAAAACTTTCATATCCTGTAAAGATTTACAGCCTCAGAAACCCTACACAGCATCACTATAATTAGAGTCTATTCAATGGCAGTAGGTTATGGGTTAGTCACACTGTTATAGACATTAGCTACTTTTGCCAACTAAAGATGAGAAAAGTTTATTTGCTTTATTATCTCTACTTTGTCATTGTTATCAGGGAGATATGATAATAGTGCTTAAATAATGCAGTTCTTACAACCTTTTACTCACCTAAAGGCATTACTCTTCTTATATACAGTTCCTCAAAATCACTTGACAGCAAACATCTATAAAACCAATTTATACTCAGTACCTGGCTTAGTTTTGGCTTATGATAAATGCTCAATAAATCTTTGTTTAATAAATGATTATGCTTAAACTTCACATGTATGCACACACACAATCAACCTCTTTTAGAAATATTGTTCAAATTGATTAAAGCAGAATAGTCTTGGGTGGCACAAATAATTATCTTAAAGATGGGCAATTTGGATCCACCTAGAAGAAAAATCCATAATTGGAAAATAAAGTCTTGGCAATACAAATGATGCTGGGGATCGCATGATAGAATTTTGCAAGATCAGTAACTTATTCATTGCTGATACCTTTTAATGGCAACTATACAAATGGACATTACCAGGTGAATAAATAGGAATCAAATAGACTACATCTGTGGGAAGAGACTATGGAGAATCTCAATATCATCACCAGGATGAGACCAGGGGCAGACTGTGGAGCAAACCAATTGTTCTTATACAAATTGAGGCTAAAGCTGAAAAATTTCAAATAAATCCATGCAAGTCAAAATATGACCTTGAGTATATCCCACCTGAATTTGAGATTATCTCAAGAGCAGATTTGATGCTTTGGATACTAATGGCTGAAGACCAGAGGTATTGTGTATTGACATCAGGAACATCATGCGTAAAGAAAGCAAAAGGTTATTGAGAAGACAGAATAGAAAGAAAACACCAAAATGAATTTTAGAAGAGACTCTGAAACTTGTTCTTGAACATAAAGAAACTAAAGTGATTGGGAGAAATGATGAAGTAAAAGAGCTGAACAGAAAATTTCAAAGGGCAACTTGAGAAGACAGAGTATTACTGTGAAATGTGCAAAGATCCAGAGTTAAAAAACAAAAGGATAGAAAATGCTCAGCATTTCTCAAACTGAAAGAACTGAAGGAAAATTCAGCTTGAGTTGCAGTATTGTTGAAGGAAATAGGGTCCTGGTGTGTGCTGTAGGATAAGAACTAGACTGCTAACTGCAATTTGGCAGTTCAAACCCACCAGTAGTTCCTCAGAAACCCTATATTGAAACTAATTTGATGACACTTAACAGCAACAGTAACATAGGCAAAATATTAAATGACTGAGGAATTATCTCAAGAAGATGGGAGGAGTACAAAGTCATTGTATGAAAAAAAAAAAAAGATCAGCGTTCAAGAAATACTATGGAAGCTAGAAGTCCAAACTGCACTGAAGTTATTGGTGAAAATAAGGCTCCAGGAAATGATGGAACACAAATTGAAATGCTTTAACAAACAGATGTAATGGTAGAAGTTCTCACTAGTCTATGCCAAGAAATTTGGAAGATAGCTACCTAGTCAATTTAATGGAAGAGATACTTTGTGCCCATTCCAAAGAAAGGTGACTTAACAGAATAATGAAACCATTGAACAATATCATTACTATCCCATTCAAGTAAAATTTTGCTGAAAATAATTCAAAACAGTAATACATCAATAGGGTGCTGCCAGAAATTCAAGTCAGATTTGGAAAAATACATGAAATTAGGATTTCATTGCTGATACCAGATGTTTCATGGTCTCAGAAATATGGAAATATACTTGAAAATACAATTTAATATAGGTAGTAAGTAGGTAAATGATGGGAAAAGTAAAATTACGCCTATCTTATTTTTACTGAATTCTTTCACTAGTCTTATTATTTGTCATTAGGTGCCATCGAGTCATTTCTGACTCATAGCAACCCTATGCACAACAGAACAAAACACTGCCTGGCTCTGTGCCATCTTCACAATCTTTGTTACACGTGAGCCCATTGCTGCTGCCACTGTAACAGTCTACCTTGTTGTTGGTCTTCCTCTTTTTCACTGACTTTACCAAGCTTATTGTTCTGTACCTAGACCAAGAAGCAGTTGTTCGAACAGAACATGGGAACACTGAATGTTTTAAAATTGGGAAAGGTGTGAGACAGGGTTGTGTTCTTTCACCAACTTATTCAACCTGTATGCTGAGCAAATAATACGAGAAGCTGGGTTCTATGAAGAAAAACGTGGCATCAGGATTGGAGGAAGACTCATTAACAACCTGAGATATGCAGATGATACAACCTTGCTTGCTGAAAGTGAAGAGGACCTGAAACATTTACTTATGAAGATCAAAGAGCACAGCCTTTGATATGGATTACATCTCAATGTCAAGAAAACAAAAATCCTCAACCACTGGACCAATAAACAACATTCTTATCAATGGAGAAAAGACTGAAGTTGTCAAGGACTTCATTCTTCTTGGATCAACTATCAACACTCGTGGAAGCAGCAGTCAAGAGATCAGACGACGTATTGCATTGGGCAAATCTGCTGCACAGGAACTTTTTAAAGTATTGAAGAGCAGAGATGTCAGCTTGAGGACTAAGGTGCTCCTGACCCAGGCCATGGTGTTTTCAATAGCCTCATATGGATGCGAAAGCTGGACAGTGAATAAGGAAGATGGTAGAAGAATTGATGCCTTTGATTTGTGGTGTTGGAGGAGAATACTGAAAGTGCCATGGACTGCCAAAAGAACCAATAGATCTGTTTTGGAAGAAGTGCAACCAGAGTGCTCCTTGGAGGCCAGGATGGCTAAGCTTCGTCTCTCATACTTTGGACATATTGTCCGGAGGAAACAGTCGCTGGAGAAGGATGTCATGCTGGGTGAGGTGGAGGGTCAGAGAAAAAGAGGAAAACCCCTAACGAGATGAATTGGCCAGGTGGCATCATTGATGGACTCAAGTGTGGCAGCGGTAGTGAGGTTGGCCCAGGATCGGACATTGTTTCATTCTGCTGTGCATGGGGTCGCTATGAGTCAGTTCCGACTCAATGGCACCTGACAACAACAACAACAATGTTCCGCTCCAGAGACTGATACTATGTCCGAAGTAGGAGAGATGAAATCTTGCTATCCTGGCTTGTAAGGAGTATTCTAGTTGTACTTCTTTCAGCATAAATTTGTTTGTTCTTTTAACAGTCCATGTTACTGTTAATATTCTCTTCCAATGCCATACCTCAAATGAATCAATTCTTCTATGGTCTTCTTTATTCACTGTCCAACTTTCACATTCAAATGAGGTTATTGAAAATACCATGGCTTGGGTCAGGATTACTTTAGACTTCAAACTGGCATCTTTGTTCTTCAACACTTAAGAGGTCTTGAGCAGCAGATTTGCCTAGAACAATACATCATTTGATTTCTTGACTGCTACTTCCATGAGTGTTGATAGCAGATTCAAGCAAAACTAAGTTTTGAAAACTTCAATCTTTTCTCCTTTTACTGTTGTTAAGTGCTGTCAAGTCAGTTCTGACTCAGAGATCCTGTATAGTTTCCAAGCCTTTAAATCTTTGCAGGAGCAGAAAGCCTCA